CACACACGTTTCGGCGCCTAGTCCAGAGGCGTCTAGCCGTTGTGTGAGTCCTATACGTGCAAAATACGCACACATTTTTCGCCCCTTGCTAAACACCGCCCATTATGCGTCGCGTCTCCCTCATCCGAGCGAGAAAGTACGTTTTGGTTACCTCCCACCGAATTCGATGCTAATACCATCTAGCGGTGGAAGTCATCGTCCCCATTTTGGTGGTGAACGCTGTTAACCAGTTAACTGTGTCGACCTATTGGAAATGTGTGTTTTCATGACGAGTATACTCGTCAAACACAGCTAACTGGTTAATAATTGCCTGCGACTTGGACCAGCATTACAACAAAACCTACCAGCCGTCATCACCAAGTGGCGAGCTCATCGATTTGTCTTTGTAGCCCATATTAAAAAGATGAATCGAAAAATACTTATTCACCGTGAAGATGCTGACCTGCAACAGATTGCATGACGAGCATCGCCAAAATATCCGATCCATCCGTCACGATGGACATGCTTCGTTGAGACCAAAGTCGCCGGAAAACCACGAAGCACGAAGTTCGAAGGGTACGGGCGGGTATGGACGGGTAGAAGCTGTTTAAACTTTAATACATAGTGTCTGCCAGCTGATTCACTAATAATTTGATGAACTTTTGTCAGTTCGTACTTCAACGTCTAATTTTTACGTTCCGGTTGGCGATTATGGGAAAAAATGTATAAACATATCAAATGCGTTGCAGAATGAACTTTTATTATGTTTCCGATGATAAATTTTAGTACAAACTGCGGATTTCTGATAAGCATTCACTACAGCCTTCTCGTAGATTTAAACTTGCCGCTCCTGCGGTACGTGGTACCCGACCCCACCTAGCGGCGCCATATACATGAGGAAGCCATTCATGACCGCCAGTGTACCATGGGCGAAAGAATCGTTTCGTTTCGTTTTCGTGTGATGGCTTTCGGCCCAAGAGTATGGGCCCAGTACCACAATTCTGGTTTTTTATTTAATTTTATTTTATCTCGTTTATTTTTTCTGTCTCTCTGCCAACCTCGGTGGGCCGGGTTCGTGTCCAATGGGCCATTGGCTTTTAGAGGTTATGGTATGATGGCGGACTGTTTTCCGTTGGGAGGTCACGTGAGTCGGCTTCCGATCGAGGCCATTTGTTTCTTCTCTGTGCTTTGGAGGGGGATTCAAGATGGGCGAAAGAATATATAAACGGCACAGATTTCTATACATAACCCTAGATTGCTAAGAGTGGGAGTTGACATGCGTTTAAGGCTCTTTCTGGTTTCCTTTTACAGCCGCAAGAGGGCAGCGTAGTTTGTAATTTGGCGCGTTCAATCAAAAAGGCGGAAGTGCAGATACCACGCGACACTTAATATTTATCGTTTCTATGAATTAAATTAAAATAATGCCGCAACAGTGCTGCATTTTAAACTGTAGAAATAAGCGATCCAATGAGATACATTTATTTAAGTATTTATTAAGAAAATATTATGTCCATGAAGTTTAACGTCAGTATTTAACCATACTTGTCATGTAACGCAGATGTGAAAAGTCAATTTTGAGTAATGAAAACAGTATCATTAAACATGAATGTTAAATAATTTATTATTTCTATCCAAATTTCCTTTAAGAAACCGTGTCTTTTTAGAACAATGGGGTGAAGCAATTGCAAGCGATATTATACCGACAGATCATACGAGAATTTGCAGTGCTCATTTTGCAAGCGCTGATATTTTAATATCATTCGATAATATCGAATTATAAAATGTCCTCCGCTAAATGTCGAATGTGTTGATGGCTTCGCGCGTCCCTCGAGGCATTAGACGGCGGGAACGAAACAGCACACCGGAGTCATGGGCCTCGACGACGGCATCGAGCCGGTGCGGTCATACAGAGGGCGGTCCTCCTGGAGCACGGTATGTCGCTGTTACGGTGTGGAATGATGCTTTCTTCTTGTCTCTCTGTTGGCACCGGTCGACATTCGACCATAAAGCCATTGGTGCATGATGTTATCTGTAGCCTAGTGCTCGTTGCATCGGCACAGCACGGATCCCCGGAATCACATCAGGATCACCAATATCGGGGTATCAATATGACACTACCAAGGAACACCAATCACTATATTTGTATTTGGGTTACATGCGCTTTTTCGAGAACCTTTGTTCTTATTTGTCGTCTTGGTTTCTTTCGTGCGCCTTCGCTTAGGCACGCAGTAGTAACTGTCTGTTACAGTCAATCGTCGGTTCGGCGGTTAGTTGCCTACTGGTTAAGTCGCTTAAGTTGAGCGCAGTTGAGCAGGGGATCGACACTGCCATGTATTGGGGTGTAACGCTTTATGCACTACCGCCATCTTCGGTTGGAGTAAACCTTCTTTGCGAACTAAAATATTTGGCGGGCTATTCAAATTCATTTATTAAACGAAGGGATATTTTCGGGATTTAAAAAATACTTGCAATGATCAAAACAGACGTTGCTTAAACTTACACACAAATGTAAGAAAATAGTATATTAAACATAAAAGAAGTAACAAAAGTGTCAGTGGCGCGACGCCTGTTTTAAATCACTTANTAATGCCATCTAGCGGTGGAAGTCATCGTCCCCACTTTGGTGGTGAACGCCGTTAAAGGTAAGGTTTACCCGGATCTAGAAGTGTTCCTCTCAATGGGTTCCAACTGGTGAATATAAAATGATTACCTCGAAATGAACAGTGACGTGGGTGACCACCTGAGCGTACGTGGAGTCGCAGCAAGTCCAGAAACTGGCAATGTAAAGTACTACGATCTGTTCGATGTGCACGCAAACAAAGTATGAGAATGCATTGTTCAGTGGAAATGGGTAGAGTATGGGAAAAATGGTCTTGCTGTAATTGTAGGAATTGTACTCATTCTTTGTAAACCACACTTGATGTAGTATGTATCTGCAACGTAATGTCCTCGCATGAAAAGATCATTTCAATAAATGTAATCGTTATTGGTTTAAATGTGATTTTGATCATTTTATGTACAGCGAGATGAAAAATGACGGAAGTCGTCTTGGCTAGTTAAAGTTACGTAAAAGAAGAGTCGTAACGGTCCAGGATTCGTTCTGATTTGAATTTCTATTTCATTTGTAAGAAGATAGATAAATTTCCTGAAATATCCGCGTATAATTGATAAATAAACATATACCTGAAAATGTATAATAAAACATCGTAAAAGTGGAAAAATGTATATCTTCTTCAATTTGATAATGTAAAGTCCATATCGGATTATAAAACATATAAAGGCTAAGAAAAAATTAAAACAGCTCAGACGATTGACGTACCCTAGAGAATGTTGTTTCCTATGAACATATTGAGGTGACAAGAAATGATCGGTAATTAATCTGAATGCGCTCTGTCGGACAATGTCCTTACGTAAGTGGGAGAATGAAGTAGCTAACAACTCCACCCATGATCACCAATATGTATCCGTTGCGATGAGCAGTTACAATCCTTATCATTCTTAATATTTCGTTCTCGTTTCTTCTCCTCTCGATGGATGCGTCCCACATTGCAGCAAGTCTTCTTAACAAGTACATAATATCTTCCGATTTTTCTAAAAGCCATAGACCCTAAAAAGGAGAAAGTTTGTAGACAAGAATGTAAAGAAATGGCCAGTTCAAAGCAGCACCGAACACTGGTAAAAGCTCAGTAAAACCAGTATCATTTTGTATTTAAAGTTGCTAGAAACTTCTTAAATACGTTCCTTAAATGAGTCGTCGGATTGGCATAAAGGTATAAAAATTAGTACCGTACATTAGCAGCATTTTACTACCGAGTTAATTAATAGAATTATGAATTAATAGTTATCATTCATCGGTAATGTCATGAACATAAACCTTGAAACCGCATAGAGCCGCAGATATCATACTTGGTACCATATTAAGAGCCAAGATGGTATCTTTCTTCCAATTCAGCTGGACGGTGCGAAACTCAAAGATCAGCAAAAGAATTATCAGCACGAAAACGGTACCGATGGTGGCTACCTCGCGGACTCCAGGCTTTTTTGATTTCCTAGCAAACACGGAGTCCATAAAGAACAACCCCATAAAACGTAGCAGCGTTACGTTTACTCCCAGGAGGTCCTTGAAGACCGCGAGCATCTCCTCGCGTTTGTTCGGCATCTCTACCTTTCGGACGAAGACTGAGTTCTTCGAACGGAAGTTCTAATGCTGCTGAAATCGATTTACACATCTACCCTATAGCGTTAATAAGACGAAACAGTAGTTTTCAATGGTCTAGACCCTGAATCTAGAGCCGGTACTATGTAAAGGTGTGTCATCACCCTTTTCTGTTACTTACTGATCTCTCTTAAATAATCCCTTGATGTCTAGGAAGACCGGCTTAAATGGCATGTGGACTATCGATTGAGGCATGCCGGGTATAGAGTCAAATGTGAGTAATAAGCAGTATGACATTTATGCAATACATTGAACAAACGAGGGCGGAATTGTTGGATACAAGCTCGTGACATGAAATTGTGAGGAACGTTCAGTTCCTGTAGTACGAACTGCCATGCACCTCGTGAACTGGTTTGTATCGGCTGTATCAGTACCTGTCTCAGTCTCGGTACCTGTGTTGGATTTCGATCCGGACTTTTTGGTCCAGTATCAAAGAGTTGTTTGTATCTTGATTAAATGTGTGCGACAAAGTGACTTTTGACCCTCGAGATTATTGGTTGCACGGATATTGGCCTGTGGGGTCCTTTCCTTCTGAAATGATTATATCCTTTACAAAAATGTTAGTTCTACATTAAGGGCGCTCAACACTCTAGCGATTTTGCAGGACCTCACGGGGACAACGATTCCGAACGTATTTCTAA